TTCTTCCTCTTCCTGTTATTTTTCCTTTTGATCGCTATTCTACGCTGGTGCGCTTATGACATCGTTTGTATACATTTTATTTCCATACCTTTCTCTTCGCTAATTCACTTGTTTAGTATAGATTCCTCTATTTCTGACCCGGGTTCTCATCAGTAATCCTCTTCTTCCTCTGCAATCTAATACTAATCAACACCTACTTGCCACATCTCCAGCGCCGTGTTGTTAAGAACCTGGTGCTACCTCTCAATTCATCATAACGGGTAGTAAACGCTTCACCACTACGCTCTCAAAAATACTTAACTTCATGAGATATGGAGTGACAAAATTACCCATAGAATTTGTCGGGACAGTGATTATGTGACCGCACTAGCGCAAGCGCTAGTGCCTCGGCACTATAGTATAGACGTATCGTAGTCCTAGCTTTTAGAACCTCAAGCAATATTACAACAGTGTGAACCATAGTACTATATTGTCTTCACCATCCCCATGGTGATACCAACAGAATGAGTCTAGGATGATACTCTAAGGCCTCGAAAACACCCCCTTTGAGAATAATCATGGTCTTTATTTCTGCTTCGAGGCGTATGCGATTGGTAACTTCTTTACGACTTTTGAGTATCTCGGCATGTTAATTGAAATGAAAGTCTTCATGAGTGATATTCGGCTAGTGCCTTTACGGTTATCATTACCACCGATGTGTATGTTTATTGAGAGGTTTGTGAGTGGAGACAATGGAGCAATGGAGATATGTATTGAATTATATACATACCGAGTAGTATCGGCAGAGTAGCCATTCCACATATATCATTTTCGCGGAGGTGAAGTTAAGAAAATTAGCTAGCTGCTAGTTAAATGAGGAGTTATACATACCTCATTACCCCGCATTGGTACTTCAATACTCCTTGATAATACGCGATGGATGATCTGATGCTTGCAGATGAGAAAACATATGTTGCATCTTCACAGCTATCATGAAGGAGTCATTAATAGCCAAAGAAAATTGATGAGGCAACCTTCATGCGAATCTGATCCCTGGAAAGCAACAAGAGGCATGTAGTGTGCAGATGACACCGGCATTTAGCAAGTAGTTGTTGGAGATCTTTTTGCAGACCACTCCTAGATCGCTAAATCTATTAGGCGTGATGAAAATCCACGTGTTAGATATTAGGTCAGGTGGGGAGTTGGTAGGATTGAATCATCAAGGTGCATATATCTGTGGTAATTAAGAAGATAAAATTCAATGGAATTATATTCATTCACAAGAGATTTTTGAATACATGTAAACTTAGCAACTCCATAGCGCACACAAATGCTGAAAGAATTTGTTATCTGTTGCAAGGGCTTTTGACATTTTGTGCGTCGTCGAAATCCCATAAAACGTCATTCTACAACTATAAACCTCGAGGGATGCGCTAGCAGAAGAGAGGCTGATTTATAGTGAGTAGATTACCATCGCTAGCAAAATATCTGGTAATTTCTCCATAATATCATAATCTGATGCCCCACAACTTGTTTCCATTCATTCATTCACTAAACCCCTCCATCCCACCACCTTCTCATCCCCACCACTCTCATCCGAACCCCCTTTCAAACAAAGCCCCACAAAAAAATACTACTCCACAACCTCAGCTACAAAAGATATACAGACTCACTCATTACCATATCCATCAAGTATATATAGGATTGACTGTATACTGAATGCGAATGCACGTCTTCCGATCCATCACTCGCCGAGCATCTTAAGGATTCGCTCGAACTGGACTTCAGGTGTCCCTCGCCCCGATACCTTTGAGAAAACGACTCGAATGTTACGTGAGTGTTAACTTGTGGGCATGATCGATCATATTTACCATTGCGCCACGGAGGTATCTGCTTCATTGGATGTTGGAATGGGAGAGATCGGGCATTATAAAGGTGAAGGGAAATGGTGCCGGGGGCTGGGATATTCACTTTCAGGGTATGAATTTTTTTGTGGTGATATGATATTTGCGGGTAGAAGAAACACCATCGGTCATGAGTGATGAGAACATTTATGTGAGCTTTACTTGAATTGATGAACTTTCTTGAATTAAGAAGAGATAGACAGATAGAAATTAGTACCAACATCCGCATTTCACGCTGAGATATCTTCCAGCCTTCGCGGCAGGAATCGTAACCATAAATTTCCAATCTCAACAACCATGTAATCCTCCCATTCGCGTTCAAAAAGCACATCATCATGCGAGTGACCAAACTGAACATCAAACGTGCGAGCTATACACGCAATAACCAAGCGTAGTTCATGGAGCGCCAGGGTTTTGCCTACACACTTTAAAATTGTAAGTTTTGTTTCATACCCAGCGCTAAAAATTCATAATGAGGGAAGTGTATAAATAACATGCTCGATCTAAGTATTCGCCGTATCATAAAAAGCTCAACTTACCGAGTGAACACCATAACCAAAAGGTATATAAGCCCTCCTATCTCTCACCAACTCAGGTCTTTCACGTGTCCATCGTTCCGGGATGAAACTTTTTCCCTGTGGAAAATATCGCTCATCTGTCATGAGTCCCAAATGCGACATCTCGACTTGTACATTTTCTGGAATGTGTAGGCCTCCAACCTCGATGCCTTGTGGATAAGTCGTTGCATGAGGGCCAGATGGAATGGGATTATATAATCGTAGAACTTCGTCAACAACCGCGTTAAGATATTCTAGATTCCTGATAGAATCGACAGTTATTTCCTTGTCTTTGCCCATGACTGAGCATATGCCATCAATTTCTCTTTGAAGTTTAGAAAGTATTCGTGGCTCCTTCGTAAGCGCTCTCAAAGCCTGTGCCAATGTTGAAGATGTAGTATCTGACCCAGCTATAATGATTAAATTTGCATTAGAATTCAACTCTTTCTGAGTAAACTCCTCACCACCATTTGGATCTGCGGATAATAAGTAGGAAAAGATATCTCGATAGGCTGAACCGTGTTCTTGTCGTTCCATAAGCATTCTTTCGCCTTTCTCGCGGAACATTCGAATATCGGATGTTTCAGGCATGTATGTAAGAAGCTGTGCTAGATTTCGTAGGGATGCAATAATCTGTCCGTATGTTAACTAGGATGATATACATAGGTGATAGCTACCCACGACGGCGAATGACATATACTTATGAACATATGACATATATGAGTTATCTCCTGTACCATCTTGTAGGCCAGCATGTTTTGAGAAACTCAAATCGGCCATGCTTGGAATAATTAGACTCTGTGTGCTATAATCTGACAGTATTAGGGATTGATATACATATCGAAAGTAAGGCCGTCCATTGCCTTTGAAACATTCACCTCTTTCCCGTCTGCTTTGAGCAATATTTGTATCATTTCATCCACGTGGATTTCCACCCTCGTGTTATACTCTCTGATGGCACTGCTCACGAAGCCTTTCTCCCTGCACAAATTTAGAATAAAACTATATACAGAATCAAAGCCTTACCAGATTCTTCTCCACTGTCAAAGTTCGTCAGCATGGAGCCTCACTTGTTCACATGATGTATGAAGTCATAGTGTATTAAAGCCACTTACAAGAGAGTGTTTTCCATAGTCTCTGGTCGTATTTAAATTGACCTCTCCATTGATAGCTCCAATCTCATAAAACGTACCTCTTGGGTATTTCCCCCAAAATACCCTAAGTACCGCATCCGCATTGGTGATAGAAACCTCGTTAGGACCTATTCTAACAACATCACTTTTGTATTTTTTATGGAGAGCCTCAATAGTATGGGATGTACGGCCGAGTCTATATTCATTAGCAATGAATAATTTCGTGAGAGCGAAACGCGCTGGTCCGGGGATGTGAGATAAAGGAGAGAAGTATAGCCGACGAAATGCAGTAAGAATTATCGCAGTAAGGAGAAAGGTTGCGTTCGAAGTAAAAAGATGAATGATGACTTGAAAGATTCTGGTGCTTGTAAAAATAAGGTAAAATAAGAGAATACAGTTCGATGAGAAATATATGGAGATAACTTTTATGGTGGATGGTTCGGGAACGGGGGAAAGAAGAAATTGGCATGCGATAGCTGCCATCATCGATGTGAAGGTCTCCGCCATTTTCATCGTAAATGATGACTAGTAGCGAGTGGAAGTTAACTATAGGAGATGAATCAAGATAAACAGCTGGCATGGAGCATTGAAGCTCTTTTACAAGGAGATTCTGGTGAGGTGAAGTCAAGCTGAGGTCACAATCTGTTTGATTAAACGCCATTTTCAGCCCACGACAAGCTCGTTACACTGCAGAAGCGCCTATGTTATCTTATCATGGGAAACAAGTGACATAGAAGTCGAAAGTTTGTTTAAAATACTATGTAGTATTTAGATAGATGAAAAAATACAAAAATAAGTCCCATTAAAATCCCGTGATTTCTCGATTATTATATCTTCTCAGTCGTTAATGTTTGGTGGCATACTCTGATCAAGACAAATGGCACTCCAAGATCTAAGCCCGAAACTGTAAAGTATGATTTGATTGTAAAGTCTAATTCGATGCATTGGGAAGGACTTGGATGGACAACTTCATTTTCCACAGAAGTATGGCGATAACAAATGAGTTTTGAAAGGTAAGAACAATATGGTTCGAACAAGACCTCGGAAGGAAGGTGGCTGTCGTCAAGAGGTTATTTAGTATGTAAGTTTGTCATGTGCCATGCTCCTTTCGACCTGTAATGCACACAAGTAGCATCATAGAAAATCATTACACTCTTCTCCGTAGAGTTAGATCCGGCGAAGCAATATATAATCAAGGCTAATCGCGTAGGATTCTTCAGTACCAGAGATTAAATAAAATAATCCAGCACACAATCGAGACCCGAAGAATCACTACAGTATGGCGCATAGCATCGATACCGAAGATCCACCTGCGTCCTTCTCACGGCTTTCAGAGAAGCTTCGAAATTCGATATGGAGTCTCGCACTCCCAGACTCGAGAATTGTATTCATTAAAAAAGTATGCTATTTCTCCCTGTGAGCACATCATGGTTAGAGTACGCTCAGATTGGGGTGTACCGGATAGATGCAAAAACGGTGCTCGCCCTGGTTCATCCAAAATTCTTTGTTCCGGTATAAATGACATACTACCGCAAGATATCAAAGATTTGGAAGAAGTTCGGGCAGGCATCAAGCATGATGGTCAAGTTGGTTTCTCGTCAAATGCACAAATTCCAAACTTGTTGCTTGTTTGTAAGGAATCATACAACGTCGCCATCACAAGATATAAACGAGCGTTTCCGTCTGTTGGAGCTTTTGCTGAGACCTACTTCGATCACCAAAGAGACATATTGTTACTTCTTGGGGAACAAATAGTATGTGTGTGCGGCTGGCAATGCCGTGAACCTATGATTTCAAACGAGGCACGTAAAGTTCGTCATATTGCTTTTCAACATGAACCCATATTAAAAGGGTCCGCATTTCATCAAAACGATAAAATAGCCAACACTTCCAAGCTTGCTAGACTGTTGCGTACGTTCTGCAATGTGGAAAGTGTGACGATTGTGATTGAAGACTATCGAAGTGACGATCATGAGAATGGCATAGCCGAGTCTCAGAGAGACAGTGAGCTGGTATTCTTCGCGCCAGTGGACATCGGTAAAGCTCTGCGCATGTTGCGTTCGCCTGTAACTAAACGTAGTGATTTTTGTAGCGAATTGATTCCTGAACATTATTTACGAAATAGATATGAAATCGACATAAACCTTCTTTACGATCTCCAATCAGATGACTACGCAAGTTTCTTTAGGTGGAATGTGGCGACACTCAGATGGATGAATTTAACGACTGCCGGTTTCAAAAGAAGATTTAAAGAATTGCAAGAAGAATACGAGTTACGTACTGGCGTGAACTGTTACAGAATTGTAGAAACTAGCAGTTTTACGCCTGATTTGAGTTCCTGAGATCATCAAATGAATTTATTCTGTCGGCTAGACTCATTGTTTTGCATAACTTCAACCTTTGGAATGAACTCAACATTCAAAATAATGCGATCGGACGTCTACCATCCGGGATTGTTGGGCACCCTGGTCTGATGTTCATGTTGGTGTCTGAATCTTATACACCGGACGCAATATGTGAACGAAATTGCCTTTGAATACTGCCATCTTTTCTCTGCTATTATTTTGGGGAACGGAACGAGAAAGGGTTAGAGCTATTACTATACCTGTTATCAATCAGTTCTAAGGACCTTATATCCGTATTTTTGAGGAGGATAAACTTGTAGAGTGATTTTGGCGTTTTTCGGAGCCTTGTGTCACTTTACCGTATCAAAAAATTGGTATGATTGTATTTCCTAAGACCCCTTGGAGATGATAATAACGGTGGAGAAGCAGTATATCATGTTGAAGATTAGCAGGAATAGGCGAAAAGGGCCTTTTAAGAGCGTCATTGAATAATTTTAACGAACACTCGATTCGCGTTTAGAGGGATCAAGTGTGGGGAGTATGATTACCAATGTGAATGGGCAACTATGCCTATTTTCTTGTGTAACTACAGAGAACTACGAAGTAAAATATCTCTTAGGCTGATCGATCATTATAAACCAGGAGATGTGTAACATTACGGGTGCCGCAAATCCTGTCCGAAGCTTCCATTGTTGCACAGCGTACTGCATTGCTTGACGAGTTTTGCTTTGAATATGCGGAGAAGGGGGTAATGGGCCTATTCGATCGTTTAACTTGTCGTGGGCTATGGTTACATTGTAGCTGTACGAGCAAGAACAACATGCCATGAAGCAAAGTAAGGCTGATTCATGGCAAAATGCTACACCAATGCGGAAACTTGCAGTTCAACACCAAATGAGGGAAGTCTATCCCGAGTCTAGAATCTATGGCCAACAGATTCTTCTTATCCTTCGGCGTGATGTTTATGAGTATCCGAAGTCGGGTAGTCTGGTACAACGAGCGTGGATAAAGTCATTAAGGTTGTCTTTCCACTGTGAACTTTATTTGTTGATTTTCCTCACTACACTCATCACATATCGTTAAACTTATTGAAGAACTCTCGAGAGAATAGTTTGATCGTTCCTCTATGGCATTACTCGGCACGACAATGCAGGCTCGCCATGAGCAGCTGGGTGATCGTTTGCGGGCGACTAAAACACGCGGGATCTGCATTGCTGGCCTGATTATTAGTTGTATTTTTGGTTCTGCGATTCTCGCGTTTGGTATAAGTCTTCACGTTCGTCATGGATATGTCTGGAATGGCATCAACTATATCGACGTAATGGACGTACTTAGTGGAACCATCAGCGAGACAATTTCCCTGATTATCAACATGATCGTAACAATTCTCAACGAGAGCATGGGTTATATCCATAGCACAGCGCTCAGATGGTCCTTGCAACGGGAAGGGCGACTCGGGTTCAACTCGAACCTCCGCCTTTTTTCAAACTCACAGAGTTCAAAATCTAACTCAGTAAGTTCTCGTGTAGCTTTTATATGGTGGTGATCAAATTTCAACTCTGTATCTACTACATCTCTACAGATGTATACCAATGGCTGTTGTGGTGTTAATGGTTGCTTAGTGGTACTCCAATGCCGCCTTCCTACTCTGCGTCATCTTGTCTTATACATCTATACCTTTCAGTTCGAACGGCATTGGCCAAGGTATCATGATGTGGACTCTTTCTACCATGATACTTGGAGCAAGTATTCTTGTCCAAGCAGGACTTGCGACCTGGTCGCTCATCGTGACCGAAATCCCTACTTGGAGTTCCAGCCCACTCGATGCTACTTTTACCTGCCTTGAAGTATCTACCACATACCCGTTGGCTAGGAGCCAAAGGCGGTGTATGAAATCTGCCCATGACCGCAACACCACCTCAGACCCTTGTTTCCCGAAACAACAACAGGGATCTTTGTTAACTGTTCACAATGACGTGAAATGGGCATTGGGATTGATGTGGGCAATTGTACCACTCGGATTATGTTGGACTGGTGTCGTGCTTCATTTAGGTTACCCAACACTTTAGCACAATGCTCCTGGAATATACTACCTTCGGGAGCCAGTTTTCTCTGCGGAATATTTGCTATGTGGACTAATGGCACTAGTTACCAAGTGCGTCTTACGAACATCTTAATGGTATCAGCTTTCCAAGCTCCACTTACTATCGGACTTCACTGTGCAGAACTCCTTTGTAATCTATCTCGCGACGAGAGAATTTTCCGCCAAGCAACGTCTTCAAGAGGCACTAAACCACGCTGCAACAGTATATCAGCGGCATTGAAGGGTTGGGAGACTATACTATTGTTTGTGTTCAAGGCCTTCATTCATTGGATGTTCGGTTTGAGCGTCAACAGCCACATGACACCTGCACTAACGACGTTTACCATACAAATATTCTATTGCACCATCTGCGCTTGCTACTTGCGCTTTTTGCAACCTACATCAGTCTTCGACGACAATATGGCCCATTACCAGCAACATACGGACACCTTCAAACAATAGCTGACTTGGTAGACGAATGGCAAGGAGATTCGCCAATGTTCTGGGGGCATAAGGTGGATGGATCGAACGGCGAGCCAAATTTTGCGGGCATGGGAAGTGATCCTGTGAGGAAGATCAAGATGAGTGGACTTTATGGATGAGTAGAACAGAGCAAATGACATTGGTGTCTAGAAGAGGGAACTGAGGACAGCAGGGGCTATCAACTGTATGGGAAATGACATGAGGCTGAATTACACTTGAAGAAATTCAATTTAAATAACAGCATACACAAAGCTCATGATAGAAGGTGGAGAATGCTCACTTTCGAATCAATAAGAGAGACAACAGGATATATGCTTCCAGCTTCCCAAAATCCTAATTAATAGTGCATATAGCGTCTATCCTTGGATGCCAACTAAGCCTGCACGTCGAAACGACTTCGTTTATTCCGAGGCTCAATCTTCAATTTCCAAATGCACAGGATTTTAAGCTATTACTCTCCGCCTCTTCCTCCATAATTATCGAGATTCTAGTAGGACAAGGTGGGTGGCACAAAAAGCGCCAAGCTTTGTGATACATGAGATGATTCTAGTATAGCCTTCTGTCGATATCTGGACAAATGATATCCCTCGCACTCCGCAATTGCTCCTTGTTCTGACATAGCCTTGATGAGCTCAACTTCTTTTTCCACTGATCACTCGTGCTTCTCATACGCAAAGATGCCTATTACTTCAATTCAACTATAAAACTGGAGAACCGGCTCTTCGCATCACTATAGAGAATACTCGACATCGAAGATCCGAAAGATTCACAGCCAAGAGCCATCGCTGGAGAGAATGGAGGCACTTGCTGCTCTTAGCCTTGCAGGCAACGTTATGCAATTTGTAGATTTTTCTAGCAAGATAATATCCGAAGCTCGTGCAATCGAGAAAAATGGAGAATCGTTATCCATTGCTGATCTCCAGCGCTTTGCATTAAACTGTACGAAGCACGCGAGTATTATCAGATCCCGTCTTCAAGCCAGCAACTACACAAGACCTCTCAGCAAGGAGAATCAGGTTTGGGCCCCAAAAGTATTTCGAGCATTTGCTGACTTCAAGATATAGCATCTTGTTGATTTGGCAGCAGACTGCGAACAGGCTGGACATAAGTTCGCATTCTACTTGTCCACATTTTCGACTTCTTGGACAGCAATCAATTTCCTACACGTTCTGAAAGACAGTATTAGAGTTCGATGGCGACAGGAAGCAATTATCACCTTCGTCGACAAGCTTGAGGGCTTCCAGAGAGCCCTGACACTTGCTGTAATACTCGCTTTTCAATCCAGCGTTGACAATAACAACGAGAATCTCATATTTCATACAAAGGCATTGCAGGATTCAGGCGACAAAAACAACGCCGAAAGCATTAGACAAAATGAGCAGATCAAAGATATGTTGGTAGATATGCAGTCGCATTCTGCCTCAAATCTGGTAATACACCGAAAATTACAGACTTGTCTGCGCGACATCAGCTCGCTGCATCGATCCACGCCGCAAAACCAGACCATTTTGACATGGTTGAACTTTCGTCAAATGGCTTGGAGATACAAAGAGATATGCACCGCTTACCAAGAGACGTTTCAGTGGATCTTCAGACCGCCAGGTCTAGGAGATGCATGGGATGACTTTGGCAATTACTTAAGCGAAGAAGGTATCGATGCACCCTACTTCATCAATGGAAAGGCTGGAAGCGGAAAACGACCCTTCTTAGGTTCATTGTTGATAATGAGCAAACATATAACAAGCTGGCTCTCTGGGCGCCGCAGAATCAGCTTCCTGTGCTTCACTTCTTTTTTTGGAATTTGGGTACACCATTACAGAAGAGCCGGACTGGAATACTCCGGGCCATTCTTCACGAGGCACTCTCCAAGTACCCTGAGCTCATTCCATCAATACTCCCAGATCTTTACAGCAACTGGAAGAAATCTTATGTGAGCGATGAGCCTACCTTTGAGGAGATGAAAAGAGCGTTAGAAATGTTTGTGGAGAAAGCCTCACAATTTCTTAAGATATGCATCTTTATTGACGGCATAGACGAGTTGGCCGCCGATCATAAGGAGTTGGCACAACTGGCTCGCTCACTTGCTGGAGGAAACGTCAAGGTTGTGGTGTCCAGTCGGCCCATTAATGCAAGTGCCAACGTCTTTAGGGGTTGTCCAACCTTGAGATCGCAAGATCTCACAAGACACGACATGGATCAGTACATCAGGGTAAATTTAGTGGGCCACCAAGCCATGTGTCAGATGTCGAGATTTGATCCACGAGGAGCAGGAGATCTGATTTCGGAGATTAAATCGAAGGCTGAAGGCGTTTTTCTCTGGGTTCGCTTGGTTGTGCGACTTCTTGTAGACGGTCTTGAAGCTGGCGATTCAATTATGGACTTGCAAGCAAAGCTTCAATCACTTCCTAGGGACCTGAAAGATCTGTACCGAGGAATGTTGTCCAGAACTCTTCCGGAGTACCAGGTACAAGCATCTGAAATACTGCAGATGTTCCATGTCTGGAATACATACACTTCGCATCAGCCACTCGGCGTGATCACTTTTGCATTCGCTATGCAGCCCTTGAACGAGGCTTTCACCCGCCCAGTCGCTCCTCTGGATTTGGATCAGTATATATGGCTGTACAACAGTACAGAAGCACAAATTCAAAGCCGATGTTGTGGTCTTCTCGAAATTGGGAGAGATTGTGGTCCCGCAAACGCTGCTTTGAATTGGGCCTCTGGCGATGAAAATGACGGTTCGGTTGTGAGATATATGCATCGGACAGTTGGTGAATTTCTCGTTTGCGGCGAGGTGTGGGAAGAGATGAGGAAGATGACACAAAATACTGGATTCAATCCAGCTTTGAATCTATCATCAGCTTGTCTTTCTATGCTCAAGTCAGCAAGTACCATCACTAGCGCAAGAGCATCGACTATACTGTTTGGCAATCTGATCAACCTTATTGGTTCCTCTATTTGCTTTGAGAATCTAGCCTTGCCTGAGTATATGCAATGTATGGAACAATCGATGAGCAAACATCAGAACCTCTTCAGCCACCTTTTTGGCAGAGAAGTCACCCGGGCAGAAAATTGGCTGCAATACTTCCGCTCTAATATTGGGAAAGCTATTAGCAATTATAATGCAGAACCATTTCAAATAAAGGGAAGAATTTCTTATAAAGTTAGCAAGCTTAGACGGAAGGCACCTCCTGGAGCACCTTTCCACCGTGCACAAAGAGGTACTCATAACTTGGTAACGGCTTTAGTGTCTTCTACAGATAACACAGTTACTCCGAACGAAGATCACGTTCTTAGTGGAAGGGATATTTGGTATTTATATGGACCTCCTTTCCTTGAAACTCGACAGTTTTCAGCGTCTTCGCATGAATGAGCTTACATTTTAGACTTGAGGGCTGGTCTGCTGTTCGATCGTTCATAATAATTATCTTTGAACCTGCCACAGCCTTCATAGCTCATCCTATTCAGGGACGCATGTTGAAAGACATAGAAGATAAAAACAGCGAAATACAAATGGAATATGCGGCTATGACAACATCACAAGTGTGGCATGAGAAATTCCCAAAGACCAAGACAGAAACGCCGAGAACTTTCAATTTTCAAAACGAGATATCCTAAGGTTACTTTAAGACCTAGAATCACGAGAGAAACAACAGAAAGCAGAGGAAAATCCCCAGCCGGCACTAATGGCAATAGCCGTAAATCGATGAGACAACATCGCCGCACCAGCTCTCCCCCAAAGCTTAAGCCCTAGGCCTAGAACACTTCCTTCTCCTTCCTCCTTCTCCCCTCGCAACCAAATCCCCGCGACTCCAGCGGCGCAGCGGTGCAATCACGTTTCAAATCTTCAGACGGAAATCCACACCCCGGAATACGTTTCAAATTCGATCCGACCCGACTCATCTGTAGCAAGATCCCGGTTCAATTGACTCTATTATAGAATCAACTTATACATCATGAAGAATTGCGATGAACTTTCAAAGCGTATTTTTCATCTATTGTAGCGTATTTCAATTTAGAGTTTGAAAGTTCTGGAGAGCTCTTGAAATTTTCAAATTGATGTAACGACAAGAAACATCAACATATTTTAGATTACGTAATACAACGATCATCGCAAAGCATTCCCAATTGGGTATAAGGCTACGATACAAGACGGTTTGTTTGTGTTTCCGGAAATTACATTGTATACAAAATGTACATACGAGTATTGCGATGCACATACCTATCTAGGTGATACCGACCGGCGAATTTCTTTCGCACAACTCGGCTTATTTTCAAGCCACAATATATATATCATGTGAACATGTTTTAGTCCGAAGCCTCGTGATATTTCCGCACAGAGTACGTAACCTATGTGCTACGTACAGCAGGTAGTGTTACCGCTACTTCACTACATATTACATACCAAGTAGACCAGACAAGGTGGGGGAAGGATACTAGCAGTTGTTTCGGTGATGTCGATGAATGGGATGCCGAGTATGGAGTAGTTAGTGGTCAGCTTGAAGTCTTGGGGTCTGGAAAGCTGGATGGAAGGATTCTTCCGTGAGCTTGTCATTTGGATGATAAGCATAGTTAGTTGGCCATGTAACGGATAACGGAAGACAAGACTTTCTTGGTTGGTATGAGTCCGACTTATCCATATAGATGGAGATAACGGGAAATCTGAAGGCGGGAAAGATGGGGTTTGAGCCGCGTGTGTTTGGAGGAGGTAGTGTTTCTAGGGCGATAGCTAGGTATGACAGCACGGATTGGATGTGGGAGGATACATTGTGTATATTCTGTAGATGTTGAACATACCTAGGTAAAGATATCGATTAGTCTCCCCTCCAATATCATCCTCGTCAATTTTCAAACCTTTACGATTTTCAATTTGCCAACCCGAAAATCACTTACATACATGCATTCAGATCGACAGCGTTAATTACCACTCTACAGCACATCAATCAATCAATCAGCCCCGAACGACAACCCTTGAAAGGCTGCCGATCTATTCCCCCAAACCGTGAAAATTATTGAAGTCTGACAACAGGGCCGGCTAGACAGAGTAATGAAGCACACGACTGAGCACACGACTGAGCACACGACTGAGTACGTACGCGACCACGAATCTAACGTGGATTTTTATATTTAAGAAATTATTAGACTTTTAACGTTAACTGGTGGTAGATGCTTGGCATATTTAGTGGTGGCATCAAGGTGCACTGTCGAGTCTCAAGTCTTGACTCGTGAGGCTTAAATGGGGTTTAAATGAAATATGATGTACAGGTGTACCTTTTTGATGGGACAAAGATAATTAATTGACTTAGATGTTCCTTGAACATCGGCTTTAGTTTTCTCCTTTCCATGTACATTCACGTATCTACTTTAAACTCCAAAATTGGACATCTATAAAAAGTAAATACACTTTTCACGTCGTGGCCTCTAACGTTTCAACAAGTCGTGCTCAAAATCAATTTGCATCCTAGCTTTCATTGTACATCGTAGTAGAATTTTGCAGCCAAAAAATACACAAGGAAGCGTTTATCCATCCAATTTATCTGTCGTGGAACGTCTTTATTATCCGAATTGGTATGGAGATGACGCGTACGAAATATCATTTATGATTTGTTGACTCCATGTTCCTTTCCCTTATTAGCGAGTTACATCTCTCTTTTTATCTATCTAGGCTATCTAGGTAATTAATGGGTCTGTGTTTCCATGACCCCCCTGACTAGGTGACGAACTTTGGTCAACTCAGCCATTGCATGATGAAACTTTTGTGTTTGGAGATGTTGTCTATGAAAATGTGTGAGAGAGAGAGAGAGAGAGAGCAATATAGAGAAAGAAAAGACTGTTGGTTGAGATGGATTTGAGGCTATAGCTTATGATCTAGATGGGTTAATAGCTAATAGCTAAAGCAAAGAAGGATTAACACGTATATGTATATATGCATGGTATTAGCGCCGGCAGGTAGCCAAGCCCTGGGCTGACAAGAAAACATGGCATTGGCCTGGTCATGGAACAAGTAATCGGTTACTCGGGCTGAACCTTGTCGAAAGCTTTACAAGGCTTAGAGTTCTATATACTCATCGCTATCAATACAATCATAACTACCTAGTAGGCAGCTAAGTATGAACGTGAATACTTGATTGAGGAACATCTTCGTACTCAGGTATTACTTCGTAGAAACAATGTCCATGAGATAGTCAGAATGGCATCAGATCTAATCGTCTAATTCGCATTGAAAAGATTCCCATCTATTTAATATAAGCTCCCTGGTATCAAACAGCTTAAGTACTTAGAAAAGCTTGTCTACGTAATCCATCTGGAATATCCTAATTGCACTTGCTTCACTTCAATCACTTGCCGCGTAGAACCAACCACCGATTGGCTGAACATACCAACAAAAGCCAATGGATTCTACAACGCTACCGCGGCTACATGACATTTCATATTGCTTTCATCCCAGCCCATCTAATCAATCCATGACCGGGATTCATAATGGTAAATCTTCTCGCCATCAAAGAGAAGGAAAGAAATGGGATAAAGTCCGAAAATTCGTTCTTTAATAGATCAGATACCACTCCTTTCCTTTTCTAGATCATGATCAGATTGAAATGTCCACAAAACTCCTTTCTTCCCCACTCATAATTTTTTGATTCCAGTTGGTTTCTTGATTTGTTCTCGTCCTTCTCGTTGCCCTCTATCGCTTTCTCTCTCTCATTCTCTCACCACTCTTACTCTTACTAAAATTGGTATTCCCAACCTCCAACAACCGAACGAGCACTTGCGCCGCAACAATTGCATCATCTTGCATGCATACAAGTTTGACACAATACCAAGCTCCTATCGATTTTCACAGCGCTCTCCTTCAAAGAGTTAACCTCGTACTTCGTATTCGATTTCATTTGAGTTGTCTCTTGGCTGCTTGGATCTTCTCTTGGCATTATTCGATCTCGGAAGTGAGGCACACGAGCACACTCCTGGCTTGTTATATCAAGCGCTTTCCAGCTTGTATCCAGCAAGGTATGTATATTTGTATCATCCATTGAACCTTTGTTGCTCGAAGAATTTGGGGAATTGCGTTAATTGGAAAGCGCGCGATTGTTTTCTGGAAAGCTTGTTTATTTTAATTTTTTCATGTTCGCGAGTTTTGTGAAGAATTGAAGGGAGAAGGAAGAGACACGGGCAAACAAACAAAAATTCACTCAAAAATACCACAATGCGCCCTCCAACCTTTCTCGGCGCCATCGCCACAACATCTATTTTCCTTACCTCATTTACACACGCTTCCCCACGACCAAACGAAGAGCCATCCGCAGCGGTCGAAGAGAGAGAACCGGCTTTCCCACCTAAAATCAAGACCGAACATCACGACACAAAGTACTTTCACGAGCCAGGTGGAAACGATATATTAGGACATTACGACATACGGTATTTCCAAGGAAACCCAGTCACTTATGAAGAGAAGCAAGACTCCCTTCAATATCTAATTAGATCCTATCTTACCACATTCCGCGAAAGAAACATCGAGACATGGATTGCGCATGGGACGTTACTAGGTTGGTGGTGGAATGGCAAAATTATGCCGTGGGATTGGGATTTGGATACACAGGTTTCGGCTGCTACGTTGGCTTGGTTGGGAGAGAATATGAACATGACGATGCATAATTATACGGCGAGAGCGGATGACGGAACGACTGTTACGAGAGAATATTTGTTGGATATCAATCCTAATCATGTAGAGAGAGTGAGGGGTGATGGCATGAATGTCATTGATGCGAGATGGATTGACGTGAGGAATGGATTGTTCATTGATATCACTGGACTTGCAGAAGTGAACCCCAGTACACAGCCAGGAATCTGGAGCTGTAAGAATTATCATCGTTACAGAACGAGAGATATCTATCCATTGAGAGAGACGGAGTTTGAGGGCGTGCCGGCTCTTGTACCATATAGTTTTGACAGGGTACTCACGGATGAGTATAGTCCGAGGGCCTTGACGAAGACGTTACATGAGGGGTAAGTTTTTTTTATAGGTTTTTTTTAGTTTTTTTCATCCCATCATCAATACTTCCAAATTGCAAAACTAACATCCCTAAAGCCACAGATGGAACCCCGAACAAAAAGAATGGATTCCCGAACCCCAAATCAACATCCACGAAAGCGGTCTAGAAAGCCGAGATGAAAGCCACCCACACATGCCTCGAAGTATCCAATCTGGTGGTGGTCGCAAAGCGGGATTGAGAAATCTTTTAAACGTCTTGTGATTCTGGATGGACTTTCTGTTCTATGAATGATTTTTCGGAATCTTGAAAACTAGGAGGAGAGGTCTATGAAAAAACAAGGGGAAGAAAGAATAAAGATAGACAGAGGAAGGAATCGCAGATGAGAAAATGATACCCACACAACCTTTGAACATACAGCATAGTCAACCACATCACGCGAGCACATATTGGCATTGGCATTTTCAAAATCATGCGAAATGGAGTACTGAGGACTTGCAGGGTATAAATGCAAAGGGCATTTTAATAGGCGCATTGGAGTGCGATTCGTCTTTTTTTGTGGATGTTTACTTTGTTGTTGTATATATACCTAGTAGGTGTCTACATATTGGAACCTGGTCGATGAGGGGATGTGTATATCAGATGAGATGATATGAGACCAGATGAGATAAGATGAGTAGAGACACATATTCCCCGTGCGGGACTTTGTGGATACATCAGGATACAATACTCATACCCGCCAATTCTTCTTAGATAAATGGCTGGGTGGATGGAAACGGTGATGGTAATAATAGGTTAGCAGCGAAGAGAAACATGAGAGTCATGGAGTTCTCGATCGAGCTGGAATAAATGCATGGGGAGGAAAGACGAGGAGGTCGATTGATCGGGACTGTGTGTGTCTCCTGGGCTTGTATGTGTGGAGAAGAGAATGGAGTGGATAGTGCATATATATGGATTGTATATGGATATCTAGATATATTGTATACAAATCAGATCACAATTATCGAATCAGATTTTCTGAGGCAAATTGAACGTGTGCAATGACTTTGGTTTTATATAATGCATGTTGTGATTGATTTGATAGAAAAATGTTACATCAGTGATTAATGTAAATAGGAATAGCTGAGGACATGTATGGGTCGGAGGCTAACTATTTTGTATTACAGTATAGTATGTATGTAGATGGTACGTATAATTTACTTATTGATCTGAGATATATACTAGGATATGAATAGTGAATTATTGGTGTAGCAAGAGTAGATCCATTGAATAGTTGATCAGGAGGCGTGGGGTTCTCTGTACGAGAATGGATGGAGATGGAGAGATTTGAAGCGGGAGAGAAGTGGTGCTGTGTTGAGTATTGCATATTGCATCCGGGTCCATCGGGTGGGATTGAAGTGCTGTGGATGGATGATTTGGAGGGGATGGGGGGTGTGAGATGTGGTGGGAGAATATATGTTTGAACTGTTGTGAGGTAATGAGTTGATATTAATATGAAGTGAAGAGAGGGGTATGAAGGAGTGAATGGGAGTTGGGGTGGTATGGGAATCGGATGGGGAGAGATGGAGTTCCGGGTGGGGGAGGAAGGGGAGAAAAGGGAAAGCTTTAAAAAGCGGATGGTAGGAGCTGATGTTTCTACTACATGTAGTGCTTGCAGGTGGGCATTAATAAGAATGGAGAACGGGGCGCAGTGAATATGTATCGATTATAGAAGTGAGGACAGGAAGGAGATGTTGCTGAATGTATGTGTGGACAGTGTCAAGAAATTGCCGCAGTGGTGTTATGTGACTTGACGAAACAATTTGCAATCTCAAAATACGCTTGTACAAGACGCCTACCGAATCTGATATAAGTATACACAAATTAACAACACCCCGCTCCGACGACCTATGCTAAACAATCCGAATCCCAAAATGTAAACCGAACCAGTTCCATCCTCATGTCAGACTCACATGAGCTTTCTTTCCCATGATAATACGGCTATTTTTCTTTCCCACGACTCCTCAAAGTATTGTGAATATGAACAGTCTAGTTTTCATCATAACTTTCAAACATGATGTTACATCCTCTCCCTTTGTATTTCAGTGAACACGCTGGACATATCAGAGCCTGATATACACATCCACACAATCCAACCTCCACTCTCTCTTTCCCAATAAATTTCTCAACCATTCGACTCCAATACCCGTCCATTCTTTGCTGGCCAAGTTCTTCTTCGCATCTTCTAATGCTGTGCCTGCTAATGCTATTGCGGTCTTATTGAAAGCGCCGGCGTACATTAAAACATTGTCTATGGTTTCGTTGGAGAGGGCTGTCTGATTGTTTATCTCTGCGGATGAATACGATGAGGAACGAGGTAAGAACCAGTTACTACTAAAGTCGAAGAAGCAGTGATCGGCCCAGTGACAGGAGGAGGCGAAGAGTATGAGCAGGAGAATTGAACAGTAGACGCAGGGTCGGTTGAGAAAGTAGGTGCAGATGAAGAAGAGGAAGATGAATATTGGAGATGCATTCGTGGGAATGAAGAGGAGAGGAAGCCAACTGTGTTGAGCGGTTAGTTATGTTGATAAGGATAGTCATTCAAATATCTAATGATAATGTATTTGTTGATTTAGGCTCGCTCCAAATAGGATTGTATAAGTTCATGGCGTACCTTCTCAGACAAAACATTTTAACGGGAGTATGCGCAGTGAGATTTCAAACAACTGGGACCAAGGGTCGTAATTGTATGAAATTATGCGATCATCCGTTGATGGCATGCAATGGCCCTTGGAATATGCAAACAGAATGTGATAAAGAATCACAATATGTACCAAGTACTTAGTGCGATCGACAGGGGGAAGGGCTCCTTTCCCGTTGGTGTATTGTGCGAGGTGAAAAAGAAGATCCTCTTGTAATACTTGATAGTATGGCTATAATAATATCTTTGAAATCATAACGTTTGGATTTGTTTCAGTATTTGAGAATTTGTATTCATGACGGTATACAATTAGATCTCTTCGCGTGATAAAATAAGATGGATTAACAATTGGTCGGCTTAGATAAGCGAACAATCCTTGAGGCATCAGCGTCTATCGTCCAATTATATCATTGGAACTACAACTTTATAAACGGAAAGAGCCAGGGGGTAGTCCAAGCTTGGCTATCAATTTATCCAAGGTTAACTGCTTTACGCGCTTTATACCTCACAAATTCGCCTCACACCTGATCCGATCCTCCCTCACCTTTATCAAACAAAACTCTACATACCCACCTCTCTACCTCTACCTCTACCCTTACCTTTACCCTCACTCGTAACCTCACATCTTCAACCCAAAATCTCTTCCATAACTTACATCAACAAATCCTTCATTTGGTACTTCAACCTCGAAGCTTTCAATACCTTTTTTATTGAGGACAGTTTCTGCCTTGTATCTATTTACAAGATTAGAGCTGTTGTCGATCGCTGAAAAAAAGTGATCGGCTATCTTCTTTCTCATCTTTGTTTCTTCAACAAATCCTTTCGTTACATACTCAAAACTTTCTTCTCGATATTGATCGATTCAATTTAATTTTCATTCAAAATATTACGCCTTGAGCGCGCTTCATTTTTTCAAGATGTCTGGATATCCGACAGGTTCTGGTGGTAATGATGGTCGTGGTTTGGATTCTCTGTTTGCTCAGCTCCGACAACAGCAAAATCAATCGCAGCAACCTCAGCAGCAGGCTGCTCCTGTTCATTTAGAGCCAAGTTATAATTATTACAACAACAATAATCACAATAACGGCGGCTTCTTTGGTCAAACTCAACAATTGCCTCCTCATTATCAACAACCTTCTGTTTCCTCGCCACTTCCCACCCCTCCTGTACATGGTCAACAACCTCATCATAGTTCTTCTATCATGAGTCCTGTTGATACCCCACATGCAGAACCCCGTCTTGCCAACCCAGTTGGTACCTCAACCAACGATAATCGTACTTCGAGCTTACTTAATTTGCTGAAGTTCAGCCAACCTTCTGCGAGCAAGTCAAATCATCAAGCAGCACCGATCGGCACACCACTTCCTCCATCTCGCGAGTCGTCCATGAGCTTCGGTGGAAACTCCGATGTTCTTGGTCAAGTCAGTGCTGGTAATCGTGGTGGTCAAGATCTTCTCGCTGCACTCATGGGAGGAGCACAACAAAAGCCAATTTCTACCCCGCAAATGACTCAAACAAGTCCGCAATTTGCCAATGCTTCCCAACCCCAGTCGAGCTTCGCAGCTGCGACTTCTCCACCTGCCGATACACAGGCTTATCTCCTTCGCCTTCTCAATCAACCAAAGCCACCTCAAACTGGCAATGAATCGCCACATTTGAATACTGAGAAGGCGTTGTCACCTCCAAGCAAAGCAAACAGCTCTTTGGACGATGTTGGTGATTTGGCACAAACTCTGGAAGATACAAAGATTGACATGGACATGAGTATGATGGGATCTTCGGCCTTCGAGGGCAAGATTGATAGACCTCTCAGCAAGGAAAATATCACTCCTCAGCCGAGAAACAACCAGGGACTGTTCACTTATGTCAATCCTTTCGAGGAATTGGCAGCCTCGTCTCCACGCAATCGCACCCCTAAGGCAACCGCGGGTGGTCCATCGAGTTCAAATCTTCCTGCACCTGCTTTCCAAATCTTGAAGCGACAAGATTCAACTGACAACAAGCGCAAGATGGACGAGAGAAGCAACAACGATAGTCCTGGCCAGGTATTCTCTAAGCGTAAGCTTGGATCTCCTGCTGCATCCTCTGGACCACCTACACCACTCCCTGATGGGCGTACTCAATTGGAGGCTTTGATTGGCATTGGCGCCTCAAGCCCAGCTTTAGCTTCCAATGGCAAAGGCAAGGAAACTGTTAGCCATGCTCTTGAGGAAGTTGGTGATGTAGTTGATAACCAAGTCCAAGAAGCTTTAGCTCGTGCCGAACAGGAGGCAACTACTGCTGAGATTGAGAAGGACTTGCGGAGCATGCTTGCTGCTGAAACCGAGACACAATTCGAGGATCGTGCACAAGTCGCTGCTACAGCTATCAAGAAGGTGCTTGACAAGGACGACGCTGTTCTTGACGATTTGCCTACTCCAATTGCTAATGAAGTCAAAGAAATTATTGACGACGCTGCGAATGGTCACATTGCAGACAGCTGGGAGAGTGCAGATGCTGCCGAGGATGCTCCACCCAATTATGATGAAACTGTCGTAAAGGTATTCAACTTCCCTATGAAACCATGGACTTCAATCACTATCAAAAATAGTGAAGAAGGTCGACCTAGTTTCCGTGACGAAATCATTATGGATATCGCTCGTCTCAAGAAAGAATTCGATCAAATCGATCGCACTCTAGTCACTGCCTCCTCAAACTTTATTGTTTATGGCATGTCAAAGAACGGAGGCATTCGCATTATTAGACAGGCTGATGGCAAGGATTCTCGACTTTTCACTGAAACACACGATCGTATTTTCAACGTTTCGACATCTAGTGCCCCAGCGGATCTCAAGGAAACTATTATCGGTACTGGTATTAGTGGCACTGTTTACTGGGCTATTGTCAAGGATGGCGAAGGAGATTTTATAGAGGAAAACCATCCTGAAATGCATGGCTTTGCTCTTCCTCCTATTCAAACTCCAGACAATGAGTCAGCTGGCGGTGTACTCAAGACCAGAGCTAGAAAGAGCTCAAACCACCCTGAATTTTTCGCCGTCGGACGCGGAAAGTCCATCCAAATCATCTACCCATCTGTTATCATGAAGAACTCCTTCCTGAAAAATGGAAAAGAGCGTATCGTTGATACGGACCGCTACCTCGCCTATCGATCTCTCAAAGTCAACACCGGCAAGGCAGGCAAAGACTTCACATTCAGTGAGGATGATACAACTATTGTTTCGCTTGACAAGGCTGGACGAGTCAAGTTCTGGGATGTCCGCCCTCTGACTCAGATCCCGGAAGGTGAGCTTCACCAAAAGGCTCCTCCCGTCGAGATCAAAGAGCCACTTACGACTCTCATCACAACTCCCGCAACTGAGAAATCATGGCCTACTTCGGTCTTGTTTGTTGATAAGCTTCGCCCTTATCAAAAGGGTGGTCCACTGCGCTACATGATTGTTGGTATGAAGCAAAATCATACTTTACAATTGTGGGATCTTGCTTTAGGCAAGCCTGTTCAGGAAATCCACTTGCCTCACAGCAAAGAATCGGATGCTGTTTGTAGCGTCTTGTATCACCCCGCAACCGGTGTAATTGTGGTCGGACATCCTACACGAAATTCGATCTATTTCCTTCACCTTTCTGCTCCTAAATACAACCTTCCACGCACTGTTACCCAAGCTGAATACGTTGAGAAGCTTGCAGCCAATGACTCCAGTGTTTCTAAGCCAGATTCTACTGCTGTTGTCAGTGGCATGAGAGAATATTCATTTGCCAGCAAAGGTAATCTTAGAAGTTTGGACATCTTACAGAATCCTGCTTCCCCACCTGCTCGTGGAGAACCAATTACTTTGTTTGAGTTGTATGCTATGCACTCCAAGGGTGTGACTTGCCTCACCATTAAGCAAGCAGATCTAGGCTGGGATGTCAACAATAAGTGCATCTCTGCAGTTGTGGCTGATAGAGTTGGAGCTGTTACTATCGATACATTGAAGGAGATCAGCACCGCGCCAATTGCATCTGAGTCAGGAGAAACCGCACCAGAGCCTTCACCTGCGCCAGTCCCTACTCCTACTAGGATTATTCAACGTACAGCTACCAAGGACAGCTCTCCTAAGGAAACTAAGAAGGTCGCGCAGACCGAGCCATCTTCTTCAGCACCCAAGGCTGAAGAGAAGGCTGAGAAAAAGGAAGCCCCGGTCGCACTTGCCAACGGTAGTATTGCCGGCGCTAGCGGGACTGACAATAAAGCCGAAAAGAAGAAGCGACGAAAGGCCAACTCAAATTCCGAATCCTTATCAAATTCCTCTCAAACCAAAAACATCGCAACAGAGAATAATTTAGCATCAAGAAACAACAATACTTCTCGCGCAAATATGAATATTATTCCAGATGTTGGTACCTCTTCAAGTTTGTCAGCGCCTGGCTTGACAGATGAAGTTCTCAAGGAGATTGAAGGTCGCGTTTCTGGAGAAGTGAAAAAATTACTTAATGATTCCTTCAACACTTTGGATCAGAGAATCAAGGATGACAGACGCACTCAAACCGCCGTCGCTGATGCCAAGCAGGATGCTGTTCTTCGCCTTATCTCTAGCACTCTTACTGGCAACATGGAAGAATCATTGAAACGTATTGTCAATGGAGCTTTGGAAAACTCTATCGTACCTTCCATTGAAAATATTACCTTGAAGACCGTCGATCAACGAGTCGCTCCAGCTATTGTTAGTCACTTGAATCAAACCTTGCCAAGAGAATTGCAAAAGGTCCTTCCAGATGCTGTCAACAAGGTTATGCAACAACCTCAACTTCTAAAGCTGATGTCAGAAACCTTGGCTAAGAGTGTCTCTTTCTCTTTTGAAGAGCAATTTTCTACTCTCTTGAACAACAGCATCACTCCTGCTTTTACCCAATTGGCAGTCAACACATCTCAACGTGTCGCAGCTGATGTTCACCGCCAAGCACAAGAACAGATTGGTAACATTGAACGTCAACGACATGCCGACAGCCTTAAAATCGAACAATTGACTCAACTTGTTCACGGGTTGACTGAGACCATTTCATCCATGGCTTCTGCACAATCTGACTTCCAAGCTCAATTCTTGCGTGTTCAACAGAGAGATAGACAGGGTTCATCTCACCGTGCTAGCCCTGGAATAGGTCACAACTCCAGCAGACCTTCTGTTTCCTCAGCACTCGCAGCTCCTCCTGTTGTCGAAGAAAAGTCGCCACAGGAGCTTGAGTATGAGGAGATGTTCAAGCACATTCAAGCCCCCATGCAAGAGGGTAGATTTGAAGATGCTGTTGTCCGTTGGTTGCAAACTGGTAGGGAGCAAGAGTTCTTTGCAAGATACTTCTGTAGATTCTCTCCAAAGTTCATCACTGAGCTTAGCCCACTTTTGCTCCTCAGCCTTGGTGCTATCATCACCATTGAGTTGACTGATGATCTGATGAATCAACGTCTTGCCTGGACCGAAACCATCTTGAACTCCTTCCAGATCAAGATGGTCAGTGGATATCTTGTAAGTTTCATGTACTCCTTTGGCGTTTAATGTATACTAATATTATTTGCAGGATGATCAAGTCGCCGATCTGGTTCCCAAGATCATGAACATTTATATTCAGCGCCTCGAACATCTCTTCATGCGCATCACCAACGTTGCCCCTGCTGATCCCCTTCTCAAACAACTTTCTCAGATGGTTTCCACTGCCAATCGTATTTTGGAGCTCTATCGCGAGCGACCATCTTCTCGCCATATGACCGGCTTTCCACAATAAGAGCGTCCTCGATACTACGAATAATCATATTATACACACTCCGGATATCTTTTTTTTTTGAGGGGTGGCCAGTCTGCAGTGGATTTTTTTCCGAATTTCCAATAGCCACGCCAAATCTCTTCATTGAGAAATCTCTAGTTTATTATGCTTATTACTACACCAAATATTGAACACTGATACGGCCTTCTCGCAAATGGCATTGGCTCTCGAGATACTGGAATGTTCTCAGCCTTGCTATCCATCAATTCTTTTTCTGCGGATCTTCCGGCTTTATGTTCACATGATATTTTCAAAATTTTCTTTTTCTTGACTTTCTTTCAACTTATTTTTTGTGCCAATACCAGCGAACAAAATCGCGTTTCTGCGTATGTTTTCTACTACCTACATTTTCAGGCGCATGAGCGACATACAAAACACTATCTGGTTATGAAATTTTCATACTTTGGGGGAGCTTTTGGTTGGCTCGGGTCGCTGAAAAGGGTTCTCTAATGGCTGTTCTGATCTTATGATATGATACCATCTGGGGATTTCATGGGACTTTTCTTTTCATTTTCCCGAACAATATCTGATATGGATGTGGATGAAGGAGGGAAATGGACGATTATTATGGAATGAATGAATGGATGGGTGGATTTTCATGCGACCCTAGCTTACCTCGGCCTGGATCTCGCTTGGTCTTTGATTAAATTTAAAGACATTTGCGAGCTATACCCTTGACGCCCTGGAATGAAATGATTATGGTGGAGCTTCATTTGTGTGTATTTTAGACTCGGGGAACTTCTTCAAAGAAGACTTCGAGAAGAGACATGATTATTAGGCTAGTGAATACTATTCGTTGCATTTATTACATACTTGTGCATCTTCATGTAATGCGAATGGGGTGACGTTGTGTGTTGTAGTGTGATCAGCACCGAGTGTTGCATAGACTTCAGTGGGTAATGTGGAGGCAGAGTAAACACGAGTGAGGAGGTGCAGATGTGAGGAGCGTAGGTCATTTATGAGAGAGGTATAGAGAAGTATTTCCCAGGCGGCGCTCGCAAGATGGTTGGATTCTGATAGGCTAATCGAATGCCATCTGGAGACAATATCTTAGCGTAGAAATCTATTTTCTGAGTTTCTTGACAATATTGCCAAGTGTATGGAAATTGTCTTTAGCTGCTATAAAACCTCTGGAATTCCTGAAAAGAACCCTTTTCCTGAGGTGAATACCATGACTTTCTAGAGGCACTTACTCTGGGAAGAGTCCATCATTGAAAGATGCTCATATAGGTAGGTAGATACCCACCATCACATGGTAAACAGGCTTCGCTTACCACGCTGCATAATTGTTGTTTCAAGCTGAGGCTCGTGTTATCGAATTAAAGATTGGAGAATGAAAAATTGGCCTAAATAGACTTTTGGGCTGAATTGGGCATTCGTGAGAACCACTCACCCGATCCTCTATGAAATATTTCAAATGCGGTGATTAGTTTAATAATGCTAGACTTTCCTTTGGGCCTGGGCTGTTTCTGGTGCAATAATACCTAAACCTAACTTAATCAGCCAATCTAGATCACAGGGCTTGCCGATTATTCCCTTTAGCTAGTTAGGCCAGGCCACGGATCAATTGACAGTAATAGTGCTAATCGTGGGTGTTAACCGATAGGGCGTAGACTACTGCATCGAGGATATTGCGATGTACATTTTGGGAGGAAGTGAGAAGGAAATGTGTAGTTAGCAACCCCTTTTTCAAAACATTGGCACTCAACCCTGGGATTACATGAAACATACCACAAACAACTTCCCCCTGTCCAAAGTATCCTAGAACCTACCTACCATCCCCCGAGCGAACGAATCCCGCACGTGTATCATCCCGTAAAAACCTCTAGTTACATCGCTCGCCAAGTTCCAACCGACTCATCACTCGGAATGCTTATCGGAGTCTTTCATCCGATGGCCGCGACCGAGCTATCTTGGTTGAAGAGGAGATTCCGGAAGAATTAAGCATCGTACAATTGGACGCTGCATTCTTGGCATCATGTATCAGATATTGAGATGGTATAAGTGCTGACTGGGTGGGGCATTGAAATGTCTCCCTTTCCAGGAGAGGAAGTTAACAATGTGCCTAGGTGGAGAAAGGTTACGCAAGGAGAGGGAAGATACTTTGCGGGAGATTTTGCAAGAAACCTGCAAATTTCCGATGAGACCATATTCATCCTTATTCCAACTCCTTTTCCCCACCCAAATCCATGAAATCTATCTTTCCTCCACCCAAAAAGCGACTCCAGAATTTCGCCCGCTCCTTGGCCGCATCTAGACCACAATCTCGCCCCAATCTACCCCACAACCCCACACCCATCGCGATCCCAACCCAGACCGGAAGACTGATCCCCAACATAGCACCAAAATCAAAGCCTTTCCTTCCCGCACTGCCCTTGATCTTCCCCTCAATTCTGACGTCCTACACCTTCTAATACCACCATGCCCCCCTTCCCGTTTCCACAAAAACTCCGCTTCTCTCCACTTCTTGATCGAAAGGGGATGGAAGGGAACAGAGAGGTGTCTTTGTTGCACATCGCATTTTTGTGGGCCGTGACACTTGTGTTGATTATGGCTTGCTTCGGGGGTTGGTTGAGGCTGAGGGGCTGAGATGTGGTGAGGGGGTTGAGGGGGTTGAGTTTATTAGGTACTTGGATGGGGGCTCAGACGCTCTCGGTATATGTAGTGCATATTTTGTTCGTGTGTATTTTTATCTCCTTTATTTATTCACAAGAGGTTTAATGTTGAAATTCGTATCGATCTGAATAAAAGACTTAAGAAAAGTATTCTCGAGTTTTCCTTTTTCTTAATAGTATTAGAAGGCAAGGATATACTCCATTATCATTGTAGAAAATATTATAGTAAGATTACCAAAGTGGTGAGATTTTTTACGTGTATATCTTTAGTAGTAGCTAATGATACTTTGCCTTTTCAACAAACCAACATTCAATGTCCTAAGTAATAAGTCCAATAATTTCCAATCTGTCTTATATCATCAACCAAAGCTGGCGGGTTATCCAATCCCGGAAAGTGTCCGCCGAAGTTATGATCTACGGTCTCGTTAGCAGGAAGAAGAGAATAGCGCCACGAGAATTTCATTGGAATAGTTAAGAAAGGGAAAGACTCACAATTATAAGTTACTAGGTTTCCCACCCATGAGACTACTTTTTCTGTCCAGAATGCACCGCTGTATCTGAAGCTGCTAAACAGCATTGGTGCATCGGTTTGCGCTTTGCTGTAGCTTGAACTATACGCGTCGGTATTCTGCGGGTAGGTGAAAATAGATGATACGAAAGACTTGGTCAAAAAGTAGAGAGAAACTTGGCGAAGGATTTCATTGTGTGTGAGGACAGACGGTGATGTTCCTGCTTGTGGATCGGACCCTTCAGGCATTTCAGCTTGAGATACAATCGGAAGATGGGGGGGTTCAGAGTCTTACACGAGATATATTTCTCTGCCATCCAGGACAATTGTCCAATGGGGTTATCATGAAGCGCTGAGCCAATAGTGTTGGTCTATTTATGAGTCAGTTTACTATTTACTGGCTAAATAATTACAGCAGGATAGTACACCTGCATAGCATTCTTACCTTGGTACTCTGTTCGATAACATACCCTGTGTTGAAACCCAGGACTAGATTTTCCTGAAACTCCTCATCCGCATCGAGAGTGATGTTGTATTTAGGGAACTCGACCGGGCTTAATGGAAGGAATGGTATACCAGTAAGATGAACAGCGCGCACTGACTTGTTGAAATTGTTATATAAGTTGTACGCTACATTACTACCAAAGTCTGACCCATGAGCAGCATAAGTCTCATATCCCAAAACGTCAGTCATCAAAGTGTTGAAAATGCGTGCCGTATCGTTTGGCGTCCAGGTGGCAGGTGGTGCACTGGAGAATGCGTAACCTGGTAGTGAAGGGACCACGACATGGAAGGAAGCTGAGGTTCTATTGGATGTGCTGGATGCTGTCGTTAATGGGTCAATCACTGGAAGAAAATCCATGAAAGTTCCAGGCCATCCATGGTTCAGGATAAGCGATATTGCATTTGGCTCGCTAGACTTCTGGTGGATGAAATGGATCGTTAATCCTTCTATCGTTGTCGTGTAATGATTATACCTTTCAAGATCATTTAAATACATGAACACGTGTCGAGTATGATTAGCTTGGATAGGCATACGAACCGATTCAAATCGGCCTGCTCCGTAGCCCAATCGAAAGTGGTAGTCCATTCCGTCTGCATCGATTTTAACACACTCAGATCAATTCCGAGCGAGCCACTAAGTCCAGGATATTCCTCGACGGCCGGTAGTTGGGTTTGAGACACCAGTTGAAGCATTCGATGTGGCTCTAAGTCGATTTTAAAATCCTTAACTTGGGCGAGCGCCACATGACCGGTTAAGAACCCTAAGGGAATATTCATTGACTGGAACAGCTGCATCTTCTTGATCTACAACAGAAACTTTGTGATAGTATCGGGTGCTAGATTTTACTCTTTTCGAAGTGCAGAAAGGCAGCTTTATACAACTACTTCCAAATAGGCTTTGCTTACCTCACGTGTGGTTGATTGTTCGAATGTGAGAATTATTGGCTTGCTTCAATTTCTCCAACAATTATTTCCAACAGTTGGATAACATGCAAATACTTAAGACGCAAGCCCTTGTTGTCTGATGTGAGAAGAGTAAATTACAGAGTAGTAAGTAGGGTAGTTTATATTGAATATATCATTAGGCTATATTAACTAAGCTAGAGGTATGGGTAACTATTTCTTTCTGCAAATCAGATTTTTCAAGAAGCGTAATAAGATGTCGCGAAAGATTCAGGAAAGAAAAACGGGGATCGCTAATTAGTACGGGAATTCTGCCCAGCACATTGCATGTATAGTCCTCAATACCTTGGTTGCACTGCGCCGAGTACAAAATATATCTTGTTATTTCAGATAAGATTTGATATGAACAGAGAAAGCTCCACTGCTATTAAGCTCTAAATCTAGTGTTCGATTGTGTCGTTACTATATCTCTGCTTCATCCCTCGTAGCATTCTCTTTCTCGTAGCCATTAAATGACACAATCCCTTTAGGAACGCCGTTTTACTGCCTCTATTCATCCACAGAGGCTACCATAGAACTCTATAGAGGAAAATTTAAATATCAGTCGAAGCCGAAATAGAGCATGTAAGTATGCCGGGATAGGCTTGAGGTGAATTGAAGTTCAAATGTAATACAAGATTAGAAGTAGGTTTCGTATGAGATCAGGACAGTTAGGAACATAGAAAGAAACGCTGGGTGGACACAAAAGCGTACAGGTGCTCAAGCGCGAGCAGATATCTCCCCATTACTACATCTCTTGGCTTGCAGTATACCTTCTCCGACATTACTCTGTATCACACTTCTCTTAGGCGCTCTACTTCTCATTGGAATATATCACATGGGAAATGTATACTCGCGAGACTGTCACAATCATGTTCAGACATTCAATGTGACACAGTTATTTATAAATAGTGAGTAAATTTGAACAACTACCGAAATAAATATATTCTGCAAACATTGAGTTTCAAAAAGATCTCCCCATACCTGAGCTTTGCGATTTCGTATATTTCTTCATTTTTACTAGTACATGCAGAGAGTCTCTTTACATGTCCCATCAGTACAGTATTCTGGCAACATAAGACCCAATGACTAGCTGCAGTAACCATCCGATGATGCTCAGTCGGAATTGTCGGAATAGTTACGCTCGTTTTCACAATCGTAATTGTAACTCCAGTGGAAATTTCTATCCAAAGAAATTGGAGGCGGCGGGACGTAATTCCACTCATCATCCAAAGTCTTATTCTGATCTTCGCTCCACGGAGCTAAGGTTCTATCTGGGCCGTGAGGCTGGTACTCCGGCTTATGAGACGTTTCAACGCGCCTCTTGGTTTCGATGCGAACCAAAACTTGCCACCTCACGGTTCCTGAACGGAATTTGCTTCGCAAATTAGGAAGATACTGGACATCCCCAACGCAATAAGAGATGATGTCGTCGCAAATTGGGCGTTGTTCGAAAATCTTGTAGGAACCACCAAATTCAGGCTTGAATAATCGGGCTCCTTTTTCTTTCGCCAGATTCCAGCTCGTTGGATCGTGACTATCTAACCCGCTTTGCTCAATACATTTGGCTAAACCGTTCAAATACTTCCTAGAACTCGTCGTTACTCTCGTAGCACTCTCCATAAGCTGGATATCCTCTACCCCTTGTAGTGCCACGCCAAAATGTGCATACAAGGCATCCGCATCGTTGCGAATGTCGAAAAAGACCTTTGGAATGTTTTCGTTCTAGAGAATGTCCTTCAGTGATTTACCTTTCGTGCCAGTGGTATTGAAAGCTTGTGAACCTAGCAAATGTATATCTATAAGACAGACGCGCATGCTCGGGCTTCCTATATTGATCAGAAGGGTGAGGATCGAAAGCGAGCCCTCACGGCAGAGGTCTACGCCTTCGAGATCAATGTACATGGTTGACTCGACCAATACCCGTGATGCGTAGCGGAAGATAAGCCAATCGACCAGATCGCTGATTTGCTTCTCTGTGTCGATGATTTCTGTCTTGATATCCCTCATACTTATGGCAAGAATAATTCAACTAGTTCTAGAGCTTTTACTTTGAACTTGAATGTGTAGCTTCTTACATATTTTTTCTACTTTCGCTTGGAATATCCGGATAACTTTGACCGAAATTTTCGTAAAGTTATTGTCGCAATGCTTATGTTGTACTTGTTACACGTGTCGTGGGTAAGTGGCATGAAAGGTACAATACTGCCTTTTCCGGCTACTTGATTTTGCAATTACGATTTGCTATATCTCTACCAACCATGAATCCCACTGGGGAGGCCAGAAGGCTACTTGCATCACAGCCAAGCGCATGGTCGGCTGACCGCTATCAACAACCAATCACTTGTTGATAAACGCACCTCTCCTCCAAAAACGAATTCGGCTTCTTCCCGCTTTCTTCAACCGTCACACCACAAATTATGAAATGAGTCGTAGTGTTTTGGGGTTTGGGGGTACATTTATCTTCCGTTGTGTTATCTTGTCTGTGGTAGGAAGTTTAATACTGGTACTATCGTGGAAGTTTGAATTCGTGTAAAATTGCCCAGAATACTTGTGACTTCGGATGTAAGATTACAGTCCACAAATCTCGAAGATGCAACCATAAGATATAAGAACCAACAGTATTGTTCTGAACATGTAACTTCTCCCATATTCAATCCTCCATGTCTATCCTCTCTACATTGCGCGTCTCACTCCTTGCGTAGACTTCCATATTTCTTATCCGCCATCACCTCCTCAGTGGTAATATCCCTATCATCACCAACGATCAATCCCAAATGAGTTGAGGATACCTCTCGGACTCTTATTATCTTTTTGTATGTATCAACTCTCTCAATTCCAGCACATGTATTATCGAGATTTGATGATGGCGGAGAGTTGATTGCAAGTACGAGAATCTCAGTGAGTGACTTGAGGATATTATTTGTGTATCCGTGTCGAAAAACAAGCACCGCGTGTATCAGGGCTAACAACATGTGTAGAACGAGAATTGCCACTGCCAAACGTCTCGTAGAGCCTTGAAGAGAGTAACTGTAGCCATACCGGAAGCGCTTAATGTGGATATCTGTGACGTCTTTGGGAACATTGGATAAAGCAGTAAAGTTATGGTTCGGTCTCACTGTAGGAGTTAAGACATTGAAACCTGTGTTCATCATGTATGGAATTCTTGACATCGCATCTGAGATAAAAGTTGTCGCTATCATGCCCAATGGGTTGTCGTTATTGATGCCAAATGACGAGGATGCCAGAGGCAAGATTATATCGTTCGGTGGCAAGGCGGCATTTGCCCACTCGGCATCTATCTGCACTGTACGCATGGTTTTCGTTGTATCGGTAAAATCTCGCACCCAATAATCAAGACTCTGTGTTGGATTGGTAGTGTTAGGTGAATGAATATACCGATCTCTTGCGGGGTCAATGTAGAGTTTAGATGCCTGCCACCCGGCGAACAAGGAACACGAGGAAATACGAACAAGGTACCAACTCTGTCTGTTAGTGATAGAAGTAAGGTTGTTCTGCAAACCTAATCCCCCTTCATAATGATCAAACATCACAACCCCTATGGACGGAGAGTTGGTGGTTTTATTTTTTGACTGCATCCATGTCGCTGAGGGTCCTCCCCGAGCGCTTTTCCACATCTCGAGTGCATGCCGGACTTCTGATTGGCCCATATCTACCCTGAGACGTATCTCTGTTTAAGAATGGCAGTGGTAGATCATCGAGCGTCTTGTACCCTTTGATCGATCCATTTGTTATGTTATAGTCATTGCCTATGCAAGCTGCAACTACCTGTGGCGCAGGAGGATCTTCACCATTGATCATTACTTGAAACCTGGATGTTTCGTTTTGTGGTCCTACCATCTGGGCAACTGATGTGACAAGCGAGCCTGTTGGTACAGATACAGTTTGACTCAAACACCAAGTATATGCATCATAAAAGCTATCCATATCTAGGGCTTTTTGAAAGCTTGATGCGCCGCCAATAAATCGATCGTAAAAAGCTTGTTTTGAGTTCATTGGCATGGTAATGCTCCACGAGTACTGTGATTCTTTTGAACTGGGTCTGTCAGCCCATGCCCGGATTGCTGAGAAGCCACCTGCTGCGCAATTGTCTGAAAACTTATTAGATTCGAAAGTGCAGAACGTGTCAAAGCTCGAATTGTCGACCTGTGTAGGCCAAACTTGAGACTTTTCTGCGTTTAGGGTAAAATGGGCAGTAGACCAGGTCGAATATTCTGTCGTTGGGACAATCCACCAGTCCAGGGATGGCAACATCAATATTGCAGACGCGGGTTCAGAGACAGCAGCTAGGATCATAGCAAAGAGTGTCACGACAACAAACATCAAGCGACGCTTAAAATGATGTCCAAATGTACCTGCAGCCCACAACTCCGGGCTGAGAAGCGAACCAAGATCGGTGATCTTGAAAGCGATGAGGAACCCACCAAGGGGTATCCCTTGACGTAAAACTTCATGCTGTAAAAAAGACAACACAATTGTTGACAAAGAAACTCCGATGAGTATCTCATGGACTTTGGCCACGAATTGCAGTCCATTAAGCCGAGTATTGACTTCTGCGTCAGCATTACCCATCGAGTTTGCATATGTTTTATACCCATTCAAGAATAATAGGGTAATAGTGATCATGATAGGTAGTACATGTATACCAGTTTTTTGAAGTGCTTTCAGTCTATCCTTCCTAAATGCTACTTTCCGCTTCTCATTCTTCTCCTTGAATGTTTGATTGGAACTAGAAGAGCCGGAAAAGACATTGAGACTGAGCAATGAAAGATGAAGAAATGATCAAATCAAAGCTTGTGTAACGGATAATTAGGTGAAGGAACATTTGGCTGGCCAATGTCGAACAGAAGACACTTTATACAGTTGCATTTACTGTGCCTTACACTTGAGTTATGAATCGTTATTTCAAGGAAGAAAACTAATCCTTTTCCCAAGACGATTCCAGCGGTGTCATCCGGGCGTGTAGCTGAAAGCCTGATAGTTGATCGATGGGGGCGAAACCCAGGGAGACAGAGCTACCAATGGCCTCTTCAATACCTGGATGGAAGATTCTTGCCAATTTTGAAAATCTTAGATAAGCAGCGAAGAATAATGGCTTACCGGTATCGAATACTCGAGCAGAGGCACACATATCTCAAGGCTAAGGTTGCACATGGCGACACACTTGTCAACCCTGGTTTTATCGACGGAGTCCTTGGATTATGCATATCTTCAAGGTCTTTAACAAGAAATACATGAAACGTAACGATAAAGAGTTGAAATGTGGAAATTCGCAGGGAGCGGCCACTCATACCAAATGACTGGAAAGTTAAAGCTTTGAGCGTCTGATACTGTGACTGAGAGGATCAGTAGCATCGATGCCGTGTTGTGCCATAATGATCCTGAAACGATGAATATGAGAAAAAGATGTTGTGCTTATGAAGCGTTGGCAAGGCGTCATTATTCCCAGAATATGCTTTCCTCAGATCGACCTTTACCTTAAAAATTAACGATGAGGACACTTTCACCACTTGATGTCGTCGTCTTCGTCTTTGTATTTTCCTCTCACCGAAAATATAAGAATCCTCAAGTGCGCCATCTTATCTCGCATGTCACATCCAACCAATCACTATCCACAAACGTACCCACCTCCAAAGCCATGGGAGCTAAATCCCTACCACCAATCTCCATCCTCTTGAAATGAGCTTCTTCACCGCCCCGTCCAACCACCTTGAACCACGAATTCATCAACTTCTTTCTCACGCCCTCACCTCCTCTTTTTCCTCACCTCTCACAAGCTTCATACTCTGATAGTCCGGGTCCATCTTTCCATTAAGACCCATTCTATACTGGTTCGAGACATACATACATATATACATACATATACATACATACGCACAACATATCTGCAGCTATCTTGAAAATCCGGGCTTCAATTGATTAATCCGATTTAATTGAGGATAAGGATACCGACATCGACTCCGCAGAAATGGAGCGATACCCCACACCTCCCTCCACGAGTTCTCCCAAACACGGATATCACGATGATCATAACTTAGGAGGGGCACGAAACGACGCTCCAGCGTCATATGCTTTCCATAACGATCACAACGATCATAAATCTACCATCTATTCTTCCTTCACAAACGCGTCGACTGTCGTTCCTGCCTCCACAGAAGCATGGGCATCCGGTTATCCAGCTACTAGCTCGAATAAACCCATCGACAAACACCCTCAAGATTTCTTCGGCATCACATCTCAAGACCCATCTTACAATCACCCCAATCCCATTCAATTTGGCGGTCCTCCCCACCCTACCGCCACCGAAACTTTCAAAACCCAAGGCCCAAATCCAAAAACTTACAGCTATGACAATTATCCACTAGCTCATCGACCCGCCCAAGAAACCTACTGGCAAACAACATCCGACCCCGTTTCTCCCTCCCAAATCCCTCAAACCCACCCGTACCTCGAAACCTACAATCACGCGCACCCCTCCCACCCGGGCCCTCCTCCCCGCCGCTCCAGCTCTCCCACCCCCAACACTCTCCCCTCCACAGCCGGCACAAACCCCTACTACAACCCCCCCTCCCAAACCTCTCAGTCCTGCCCCCAACCCCAACCTCAGCCTATCCGCCGCCGTTCCTCTCCTATCCCAGGTCGCATCTCCTCCCCTCTCAAAAGACCTCTCTCCCCCTACTCTCTCTCCCGTCCCAAACCCCGTCCTGGTTTCATAAGACGTGTTGCCTCGCGCTTCACATCCTGGATCCGCTCTCTCTTCTCCTGGATACGAGCAAATCCTATCAAAACCGGTTTACTATCCTTCATCCCTATTTTACTCGGGACCGGAGTCGTCAAAACCGTGAAAGGAGTGAAACATTTCCTTGGAAACCGGGCTTCTAAAAGAAAGGAAAGAAAGCACGAACACAAGCTTGAGAAAGAGGCCAAGAAGTTGGAAAAGAAATGGCACGAGGATATATTTGGGGACTTCAAGGGATTTGCTGGGACTAGGGGGGGACCGCTGAATGGGATTTTGAAAATTGTTCATTTGTTGGTGTAAGTCATTTTTCTATGCTCTTTTGCCTGACGTGCTCTATTTCCCCTGCTTTTTCTTTCTCATCTCCTCCTTCAAGCACCATAATCATTTTCTTGAATCCAACGACCCCGAAGAGTCAACATCAGATGACCTCCTATCTCCTCTTGTCCTTTCCAACTATTGCGACAACTAAAACCTCCCATTTCTCATTATCTGATTTCTCCACAAACATTCTTTTCCTCATTTTCTCTCCACATCCCCCAATCTAACACCGCACAGAAACCACTACTGCAGACTAACACCCTCCAATTTCCCTCGCGCAGCCTCTATCCTCCTCGAGCTCTATTTTCTCGACATGAAGAACCTCTAGGCTATTTTCATCATCTTGGAAACCGCCTATTTTTTTCTCTATTGTCATCTTTTCCTTATCTCATCTTATTTCCCATTCTAACGACCAAAATGTAAACCCTTTCCCGAACACATGATATCTCATCATATTTTATTTCCTTTCCTTTCCTTTCCTTGACCTTTTAACGACCTAACGCATGATACATAACGCATAACGCAGAAACGACACATGAAGCATGAAGGAAGCATGAAGGAATTAGAACGGTAGCCTAGGTATATAACATCATAACCTCGAAAACTTCAAACAAGAACTTGCCGCTCGCGGCTTTAATGATAAAAACAAAATGACCACCAAAATACTTAATTTTTTTCCCGTGTCCTTGTCCGTGATGTCGTAATGTATCCGAAAGGTAAACTCCTATCCCATTGCGCTTTCGATTCCCGTTCTGGTGCAAGATCCCAAACTCCGAATGCCCGCTTGATGCCTGTCTGGAGTCGTGTGTAATATATGTAATATATGTATGTGTATTTAACGACAAAACGGAAGTAAGAAGATATACGTAAAAAAAAGTCGTCGCTGGAAATAGCACAATGAGCAAACCCAGCTCAAGGAATAGGAAAATCCGAGTCTCCATTCCATGTTACACTTGAAGAACTTCCATTTGTGCGATTCTTTTTCGAAGGACTCCTAGCTGAGATTGTTGTGCTCTTTTTAGATACACTCTTCTCTGGTGGATTCCCATTTGTAGATTTGGCACGGTGTGTATGTGGTTTCGAGAGGTTCGTCGTATGTGATGGATTCTTCATCCGAGCTTCTGAATTCGAATTCCGCGTCTCGCTCTCCGTCTTCGGATACCGAGTGACTAATGTCTCGATCTGTTTCAGCATATCGTGGATCCGATATGGTTTTGTCGTTACATCATCCATGCCCGCTTCGATCGTGCTCAATATTTGATCTATTCCAGAATAATGACATTGGTTAGCTTCAAAGTTTAGTCCTGTCTGTTCAAAACCCCATTGTATCTACCCCAACCCATCTTAGTTTGTAGCGGGGATGGATACACATAGTGGATATAACGAATGAAGTTCGCAGATAGAAGAGTTAAAGCTTACCTTTTCTCGCATTGGCCGTTACAGCAATGATTGGGACATGTCCCTTGATCATCCCCTGAGCCTCCCACTTCCGGATCTGTCTTACACATGTAATACCATCCATAATGGGCATTTCCAAATCCATGAGTATGAGATTGAGTTGTTGTTTCTAAATAGTGTGTATTAGTGATATCCAATCGTATTCCTACTGCCAAATCATTTCCTACTGGCACTCTGCATGCTTATCCGCTAGTGATTGGAAGTCAAAGGGAGAAAGGGGTTTAAGGAAAAGGAAAGTACTTACTGAGTTATCTTCTTCAACACCATCCCCAACCCAGAATGTCGTCTCTTTGAGGAATTCTAATGCTTCTCCACCATGATTTGCAACATTGACCCCATAACCTTCTTTCCTCAAACTTTTCACCAGCACTTTTTGATTCAATAGATTATCTTCTACAACCAACATCTCCAGCGGTACCTTCTCTCCCTCTCCACCATCATCTTGATTCCCTTTCGTACCTCTTTTAACACCCAAAGGAGACAGCCGAGAGCTTATCCTCCTCATCGGCGAAGGTCTTATGGGAATCTTCACATCAGTTATTTTCACCGTCATCCTACCCATACCGTTATGTACCGTATCCTCATTACTCGAACTCGATATTTCAAATCCACACGCCTCTCTGAGCGCATCGTCCCTTAACGCCATCTGTAAATCCTTTTTCATACTATCTTCCGAAGCTTGCAAATCAAGGGGTGGAGTCGTTCTCCTTGTCTTCAGATAAAATTGAAATGTGCTTCCTTTTCCCCGTTCACTATGAACTCCAATCTCACCACCTTGCATCTCAGTAAGTTGTCTCGAGATAAAAAGTCCCAATCCACTTCCCCCATACTGCACGTGGGTTTTTGGAGACGCTTGCATAAAGAGATTAAAAAGATTTGCTTTTTCACTTTCCGAGAGGCCTCGACCGGAATCAGTGACAGTGATAGATATATAGAGCACTTCCCCATCTCCCCATTCACCTTTCACAGTTTGATCAGAGCTGCTTTGATGTTTAGGTACATATTCGACGATCGATTCTTGGGAAGATGGCCTTTCGAGAGAGGCGGCCATAGTGACGGTGATCCGACGGACTTCTTCTGTTCGGGTAAATTTAATGGCGTTAGTCATAAGATTTAAAAGAACTTGAAGAACTCTGCTTGGATCTAATAAGGTCCAATCCACGTTCAATTCTCTGATGGAATCATGTTGGACGAAATTCAGTTTGGTATCAGCTTGTTTGAGTTCTGATTCAAACATTTTGAGAGCATTATGGATGATATGTACCGGCTGAGAAGGTTCGGGGGAAACAACAAGAAGATTGCTGTCTAATCTCGAAAGAGTCAAGATATCATCAATTATGCGTTTTTGATGCATGGCACAGTATATGATTGTATCTGTAGCTTCAATAGCACTACTTATTAGATGTGTTGGCAGTTCGGCGGATTTTGATTCGTGGACTTTCTCAAGGTCACTGAATTTTCTAGTTGAATCTTGATATTCGTGTAGTGAAGATAGGATTTCATCGGCACAACCGATTAATGCTGACAGTGGGTTGCGCATTTCATGGGAGGTCATATCAATGAATCTTTCTTGCTGCCTCCTCATTTCCAGGGCTTGTTCCATTTTCGCTCGCAGTTGAATTTCCGACCATTTTAACTCTGTGATATCCGTAATACAACTCATGATCGTAGAAACATTACCTTCATCGTCCAGATCCGGATATAAAGTAAGTAAGAGATGAGTCTCTGCCCACTGCTCTTCTCCATTAGTAGTTAGCTCTGGGGCTTTCCATGGCTTATTAATTCGTGTCTGAAATGTGAGGGGTTTTTTTCCTTCAACGCATTCCGACCATGCTCTCGTCACTGGTTCGAATTCCCCGGCCACTAACACTTTCTCCCAGTCGACCTGCAAGCTTCCAACCTCTAATTTAGTCTGAGATCTCCAGAGATCGTTTGCTGTCATGGCAGTTCCATCTGTCTTCAGAATTGCGAGCCCAACAGGAATTCGTGTTGCAAATCGCGCAAAGTTCTTCTCACTTTCGGTAAGTTGATGTGATAGAATTTCCCTATCTAATGCCTCCTGTTTCGCAACTGCCAACCGTCTTTCCACTTCCTGGCGGAGTATGATAGCAGAGAGTTGAGGAGTCGTTACTTGTTTTGACAAAATTTGTATCCACTCTTGATAATCTTCATCATAGGATACTCGAGGATTCAATGCAAGGACAAGAAAAGCAAGAACCCTCTGTGCCTTGGAATCCGTTATCGGACAAACAACTAGATGAGTTGGTTCGCCAAATCCTCGAAACTGTATCCCATCAAATCTTTGCTTCATCTCGGGATCCACAGGTACTAGTACACTCTCCATTGTGTTCATAGCTTGATTGAATGGCTCAGCCAACCAGTTTTGGTCACATGCTAGATCAAAGCCCGAAGGTGCAATGGAGTTTCCTTCGGGTATGCCAACAGAGCCTTCAAAAACGCAAGGTACAGTTGATGAAAGTGGAATTGATGCTTCAGAAGATTCAGAAACCGAATATAACAAGCAAAAAGGCGCATCCTTATCAGCCAGCTCAAGTCCTTGGATCAAATGATTCCAGAGATCACGAATACTTTGGGCTTTAGATAAATGTTCGCCCAGAGCACGAATAATGGACATTCGTCTGTACCCAATTACCTGACGTGTAGTTTCATCAATCGTTGTCCGTACAGCAATAACATGTCCTTCGTCCTCACAAATGATCGGTATGAATTTATAAGTCATGTAAGTTTCCTCTTCAAATCCATGTCGATGAAGGAGAAGAAGAGCATCTTTCTGAATAAGTGCTTTACCTGTCTCCTTTAGTGCTTCGATAAGTACATCGAAATGGTCCCATACCTCTGCAAATCCAATACATATATTTTGTCCTTGTGATGCAGGGTGTTTATTACCAATAAGTTGTGTGAATGGTTCATTGTAAATAATGGTGCTATCATCCCCCCACAAAATTGTGGCCTATGTATTAGATCAGCTATGACGTCCTCTCACATATAAAATTGATGAATAACAGAAAATAACTGTCAAAGTCAGAAATTTGTAAATCAAAGACTCACCGGGTTTGGATCTGCAAAACACAAAAGTACCATAGAACGAAGCTGCTTCGACCATCCATTTATCGCACCCAGGGGACTGTTTTCCCAATCAACATCCACGGTAAATTGTTGAAATGGAGTCAACCCCATCGTCCGTGGTTCTGATATCCAATCGAAATTCTTCCGTTTTGACTTCTTTGCACCCCCTTCACGTGCTGCTCCCAGCGTGTTATGTCGATCCATGTTACAAGTTGAAAAGACTTCTTCAAAGAAGAATGCCTCGAGTCCCAGCTGGTGATCTGATACCGCATAAAGAATTTGCCCTGGTATCAAAATGTATGGAAATCTGGGAAGGCAAAATTAACACTCTGAAGTCGAAGCCGCTGTGGAGTAGGTATTCAGTCAAATTGGAGCATCAGTGGCGAGCGTAGAATTAATGATCCAACAATCAAACCGGTGGTAAAGTACAGATTATTGTGATGATAATATAATTGACATGATTATTGAAAAGCGATAATAGAACATCAAAAATTTCAGCTTGTCTAAAAATGTCGACAAAAAGGAGGTTAGGTACTAGACTTGTGCGTGGCTGTGGTGGTCGTGTGAATTTGGAAACCTGGAAAAGCACTAATGGGTGTTCTAGTGTTCTAGAATGGCCTTAAACTCGATTCAGTCGGAGTGTTCAGTCCGTTTCAAAACAATTCACGTGAATGGGGGGAGGTTCTAGATCATATTCCAAATTCATCCAAGTATCCAAGCAGTATATCTATACATACTTTAGTTGTTTTGTAGATTTGATCTTGATAAAGTTGTTGATGCTAA